CGAGAGCAAATTCTACAGAACAGCAGCCCTGCCCCAAGATCGGGGTGGCTCCTCCAGGAAACCTCGTCCTGCTTTGGGCTGCTCGCTCCCAGCTCCGCTGCGGGGAGGGGGTGGCGTGGCTTTTTTCTGACCCTCCTTTCTGAGCTGTCCCCGTGGCGCCGGTGGCTGGAGGAGGCTGGTGGAGGCTGCGGTGTCCCGCGAGTACCCCCGTGTGCCCAGCGCAGCCCTCCCGCGTCTTCTCCAGCCCTGGGTCCTGAGCCGCTTCTGGCACGGCGGTTTCCATTGCTCTGAGTTGTCTTCAAGTTCCCAACCAAAGGCTTACAAAGGCGCCCGCGAAGGGCTGGAGGCACTGTGTGCCCTTGTCCTTGTGCACAGCTTGAGCGCCGGCACCGAGGCCACCTCCCTGGTCCCTTTCCAAAGCCTTGAATCCCCTCAGCCTCCATGTCCCCAGGAACAGGCGCCCCATGCATCAGGGAGCGCCTTCCTCCGCCCCCAGCCCCTCGGGGCCCTGGCCTGGACCTCTGTGAGCAGGAGCTGCCCCATCCCCTTGCATTTTTTATCTCCCTTTCAAGAATCGTTGTCCCTGTCCCGCCACCGCACGAGGAGGACGGAGGCCGCCGGCGTTGGGGCTGGAGGGGAACTCATGCAGGCTGGGATGCTCCTTGTGGCTCAAGGAGGCTCTGGGGGAAACGGAGCCCATTCAAAGCTTAAACCCCCTCTCCGGCACCCGGCCCTCTGCAAAACGACCCTCTGGAGCAGGAGCTGGAGCTGCTGGAGGCTGCAGAGCGATGCCAGTGCCAAGGGACATGGAGCCAGGAGCCCGTGAAGCTCTTGGGGCCTCCCCTCGGCTCCCGTGGGGGGCAGAGGGTCCCATGGGAAGGTCTGGGAGAGGCCTGCAACCCTCCTTCCCTGTCCCAACCCGCCGTCTCCTTCCCCCGCTCAAGGAATGGCGCTTTGCAAGCTCTGGCGCTGCCTTGGACACCCCGACCCGGCCCTGTCCCTCTTCCCTGCGGCTTCAGGGCAGCGTTGGTGGCAGAGTCAGGGCACTGTTGGGCGCTTAAATAAACCTTTATTCGACTCGCTTGACAACCTCGTATAAATATTTGCCCGTTGCCGGTTCTCTAGCAGGGGTTGCAAATGCCGTGGGCGTCTTGGGGCCACCAGACAAAGGCTCTTGGCCCTCGTGGCCCGTGGCCCTGAGGGTCCTCACAGAGTGGCCTTGGGGTTGCTCTCACCCAACTTGTGCTACGTCCCCGCAGCAGAGAGACACAGAGCGGGGTGCACAGAGTGACACCCGCCGCCGGCGATCCCTGCCGGCGCCCGGCGCTGCCTCTGTGGGTGCTCACAGGCGCTTGCACTTAACGTGCACGAAGAGCGTGGCGGGCGCCAGCGAGGCGCCGTCCTTGGAGAGCAGGTGGATGTGGCGGTAGCCTGCGGGCAGCGAGGGGCTGAGCGGCCGCCCCGCGGCCCGGGGGCCCCGCGGCCGCCCCGCGCCCACCTTCGCGCATGCTGCCCAGCGGCAGCGTGAACTGGCCCACGAAGTCGTTGCAGGAGGCGGGGGCATAGTCGAGCACCACGAAGCGCACGCGGGCCA